CCCCAGCTGCCATGGGTGGCATAGGAATGGGAACGGGTTCCTGAGCAGGGTGTCTTGCTTAAGCAAATGGGGCCATCAGCAGTAGAACTGTCAAGCTGCACCCTGACATCTGTTCAAGAGTTTGCTTTTTTCCCCCAGCATCTTAAGCACGGAATGGTCAGCAGAATATATTCTGCCCTCTGAGAGAAGCTCCCCTGAGCAGTCTTTCCTCTTGGCTATTTGCAAATTTGTAAATCTGGGTAGTTTGGCAACTTGGCCTCTCCCTTTTGGGCTAAGTGGTTTCCTTTTTGTTGTTGAAGGGCGCCCTGGAGGCTGCTGCCAGGAGCGCTGCTGTGGGGCACCTGCCGGGTAGCAGGGTAGGACATCCTCGTCCGTGCCCAGCCTCTCCTCAAACACGTGTCCTGGCACTGCCGGCGGCTGCCGCCCTGCTCTGGGATCTGGGTGAGCTCGGGCTCCGAGGGCTCGGCCCTTTTCTCCCCGTTATTTTGGTGCTCTCTTCTCTCTTGTCAGGCTTGCAGTTTGTGATATGCTGCAAAACAGTTCGGAATAGAGATGCACAGAAAGTGTGCCCTGTAATATTTGTTCACAATTGATTTTTGTTTATTTTTGAAAATTTTATTGGGGAGTAGTTAACAGTTCCTGATGAGAAAGTTAGCAGTGTAGTATTAATGTAAAGCTTTTCCTCCCCCCCCACCTTTTTTAGGCGAAACAGCCTGATTCAGACAGTGTTCTTACAACTTTTGTAAGATTTTTAAAGTTCTGCCTGATGTTTCAAAAACTTTTCAGAGTACTGTGGTTCACTAGATAATATGTGTAATATCAATGAGTAACACTTGCTGGGAACTAAAGGGAATGCAACGGGAAAGAGGAATTTGCGTTGGGATACTGGATGTCATATAAATCACTGACGATAGCATTAGTGTCATCAGATTAGGACATTTGAACTAAAGCATAAGAGCTGCAGATGGGAACAAGGAGGGGAAAGGCACCAAGACAAGAACTGGAAGGCCATCACAGACAAATGTCTCACCAAAAGGAGAAGATAAGATAATGTTGTTTCCAAGTGCTAGACATCTCTAAGAGGAAGATGTTGTGGTAACTTCTTTTCAGAACAAGCAAGAAGCAATGAAAACCGTGTTGCATCCTTTCAACTTGTTCCCATCAGTTACTCTTTTCTTGTCTTTGATCAAATTAAAGAACGTACTGTTGTTCAAGGCAAAAGCAGCAATGTAAAGGTGCAATATACGGGGAGTGGGAAAAAGCGTGTTCAGTAGAAAACATGTAAACAATTGTGTTACTTTTTAATCAGTGGGTCAAAACTGATTTTTGGTGCTTTTTGCATAGTGCACATAGACTGTTCCCTGTTCAGATGCTTTTGCTGACTTCCATGTTTTTTGCTATCATAGTTAAACAAGGTGACTAATTAAAAAAAAAAAAAAAGCTAGTAAATTGGTCTTGTGTGTGAATCAACCAACTGTATTTTAGTGACTCAAGGGATATTGTTGATCCCAAGGGATGTACATTCTTTTCCTTCACTCTTTTTTCTACTGTTTGACACTTTATTAAGTCATTCCCATGATTCACTCCTTAACATTTTTGTATAAATTATAACACTCACATTCAGTCTAGCATTCTTCCTTTGGCCAACTCCAGTTGACATCTATTGAAAGTCATAGCAATGTTTTGCCTGCTTCTTCTAACACTGAAATAACACCCGCTTCAAACTGCGTGGCTTCACTTTTTATGCCAAGCTGCTGGTAGAGCATCCTTCATCCTCCAGACAGCTCCTGTGAAATCCTGAGCTGTGTGTTGATACAGGCTGCTTAGGCTAGGCACTGTGGCCAGGGCTTCCCTTTCTTACCGAGATGTGTTTCTGTTTGTCGATTTTTTTTTTCTGCTCTAAAGAAAACAATATAGATGTGGTCTCTTTCTCTATGCCAAAAATATCTTTTACTGTTCTATTCATGATTTAAAAAAAATGATACTTTGAAATGCCAGGGGTCATTCTAATTTCTTAAGTTTGCAATATAATTTAAGGAGGGTATTTTAATGATTAGACTTCTGAAATACCCATTGTTTATTTTTCGGACATAATATGTGGGAGGTCTTGAGTGTGTGTGCTTTTGGTTTTGTCTGTTTTAGTTTGTTTTTCCTTACACTTTATTTTCGAAGGTGCCAGACTTCCCAAATGTACTTGATCTACTTTCATGCAAGTTTTTGCTTAGCTCGCCATCTGAATCTCATATTGATTTAAAACATTATCTAATAGAATTACTCCCTCCGTCTTGAGGAGGTAGTACTGTGCCCACCTTCTGGGCATGCAGAGGTGTGAAGGAAGAGTCTGGCGGAGTATAAAAGTGTATAAAATAGTGTGGCCAGGTGTAAATGAATCTAAAGTACTATCATGGAGTATAAAAGACTGTAAAAGTGCCTGACGGAGCCTGAAAGTCTGTGGAGGGTTATGCAGGAATATGAACGAGTATAGAAGAGGGAGTATGGAAAAGTATGGAAGTGTGTGAAGAGGTGTAGTAGAGTGCAATGAAGCCTGAAGGAGTATAGAAGAGTATAATATAGTATGAAGGAGTATTCATTTATCTCCAATAATTTTTAGTCTAAATCTTATCAATTCCATAAGAAATCATCCTCTTAGCTGAAGTGACCTGCCTTTTCCTTTATTGAACACAGAAATTGTTGCTTTTTGTGCTCTGCCATAGCCAAAAGGCTGGCATTGCATGTGGCAGGTTAGTATATGTTGCCTTCTCATGCTTTTTAGGAGGCTATATGTTTCATCTAATGCCTTTTTATGTTCTCCAAAGTAGTGGGAAGAAAAATGTCTACAGAAACTCAATAGACTGCACAGAGATCCAAGCATACAACAGTGAGGCTGCCCTGCATTTGCATTTAGACTGTACCACAGTTGACTTCTTGTTATTTTTAAGATATTAAAGCAAACCTCAGAGAACACACAAGCTTAAGTCTCTGAGATTAAAGAAAGCCACTGTGGCTAGAGGAGGAGGAAGTATTTAAATTGGTAAGGAAAGGAAAAGCAGCAAACAAGGAGGAGAGTTAGAGAAACATATCACGCGTGTTCCTGACTTGTAACTTTTATTGAGATGTATAGATTGGATTGTTTTCTGTGTATTTTATATACAATGAGTTGTGTTCTATTTGTTAAATATTTTTAAGAGGCAGAGGAGGGAGAAGAGGTGAGTGCTAATTTTGCAGAGGTTTTTCTAGGCTTTCATTTTTTTTCAGTTTTCTTTTTTTGTTGGTTGCTTTTCTTTGTTTCAAAGCCCTGGCTCCTGAAGTCATGATTATGTGAAACTTTTGAGTCTCTATTATGGTAGGGAAGGAAATTAGGGAAAAAAGAACTTATATAGACTAAAACTGTGAAAACAAGAAGTTGACATTTATTTCAAAACAGAAAAAAATATTTTCTGAACCAGTTTCCTGCTGTTTTAGGCTTGATTCCTGACCTTTATAGGGTTTGGGCTTAGAACTGCACGTTCAGGAAGGCAGAGGGGAAAAGAGGGCTGTAATGAGAGAATATGTGCAGCTGAAATAATGGGGAAGGAGGTAGCTGGCACAGGGAGCCCTCGGCGAAAATCACAGAAACTCCTCCGTGGTTATAGCTTTAGGGTCCCAGGTGCCAGGCCGACGGAAGTGGCAAGATAGGAGTGCATGGGCGGACAGCCTAGGGAGGAAAGAGAGGAGAAGAAATGAGAATTACTTGAAAAGAGAGAGGGAATGAAATGGGACTTGGGACTACTGTCCCCTTTTAGACAGTTACAAGTATCAGTTGCCCGATGTATTGGAACCTCATTCTGTCCTCCTGGGATTGCTGGTTGCGGCTTGGTTTGTTTTCATGAGAGCGGGATGCGCTCGTACCCCGGGCAGCCGTGAGCAGCGCTGCCCGGGGCCTGCCCAGCCGCCTCCCGGCGCGGTGACCTCTGCAGCCCCGGCCCCGCGTGCCCAGAAGGGACAGCGAGGCCAGAACGGGGCCCAGGCTGCAGGGGGAGGCGCTGCTGGCAGGCAGGGAACGCAACCAGAGTAACTGGGCCTGTGGAGTCTGTGAGCATAGAAGAGTTGCTGTGGAAATCTCGTTCATATCTGCTGTGCTGTGGCCCGTTGTGAAGCAGCGTGCTGCATTTTAGATCTTTCTTAAGAGTACTTTAACAGGACAGCAGCATTTGCTGCTCTTGTTCATCTGAGGCTTGTTCAGAAGAAGGGTAACTCAAGTTTCTTGCCATGGTTCTTCCACCCAAAGTGGTCTTGACAAGATGAATTACTGGGATGACAGGAGTGGGGCTTGGTGGTCCCCTTACCTGGTTTGGGAGAAAACATTGCGGGAGGGTGACAAAATTGAGGTGTATGAGATGAGAGAGCTCACTAATAAAAAAGAAAGTGAGTGCAGATAAGCTATGTGTCTAGCTTGTGTTTAGCAACAATAATAATAATAATAAAACTAGTAGCCTGTAAATATAGAATCTGTAAGGACAGTTGCTTTCTGCTGTAGGTTATTCATTTCAGTAGGTAGAGCCCACACAGCCCAAAGTGGTGGTGGTTCATCAAGTCATTCTAGCACCGTCAGTGCTGGACAATTGGATCCAACGTTTAGGCTGTCACTGGGTAGTTAGAGCCCCCCTGTAGCACCACGCTCTGTACAGCTTTTTGGTAGCTACAGAACATTGGGCTGCTTCTGGCATTCCCTGAGTTGAACAGTGGTGGTTACTGTAGAGCTGACATGCTTGTTTTAGTTTGTTATATATTAATTTTGATGTTTAATCATTGGTAGCCAGAAACTCTAGAGTTTTGCTATAAAAACACAGTAACTATTTCTCAAAAAAAATCAAGCTTTTATATCCTTCTACTTTTGTCTGTATCCTGCCCGCCTCAGAGGATTGGCTCAGGAGAAGCACTCATCTGAAAATATAAATGTTGTCTTAAGCTTATTCCATTATTCAAAAAATGTTTAGTATAACCCTGTCATTTTCTTGTAGTGATCCAGCTGCCACAGCACTCTGGGAGTCCTTTATGAACCTCAAGCAAAAGGAGGCTGTGATGGAGGCTAGGAGACACCTTGTGGAGGCTGCAAGCAGGGAAAATTTACCTATTAAGATGAGCATGGGTGAGTAGTGTGATGTGCCCTTCACATGGATCGGTGGAGCATGATGTCAGCTCCTATTCTTCCCCCTAATCCTCTCTGCAGTGCTACAGAGGCATCTTTGCCAGCTGATCTTGATGAACTCTGTGGCTGCAGGGGAATCTTTCTGGTATGAAAGGGTGTGTGTGTTAGAGCTCAGGTGCTTTCTTTTAAAGGCACTAACTTTAAAAAAAAGATTGAGACCATTTATAAAGCAGTGGTGGTCTGTGGAAAAAGGCCTGTAAAGGTGTGCGAATGGTTAGCAATGCTGCTTGTCTCTTGTTGCTTGTCTTTAAAATGTTGGCAGGACTCCTCTCCTTGGCAGGCAAGAATTATAGATAACAGCTGATCAGATGAAATCTGTGCAGATCTTGTATACAATAACGTGATATAGCTAGCGAGTTTTTATGTGGAGTGAGGCTGCTGGTCTCAGGAGAGCTTAAGCTGAAAGTCAGGTCTGTGCTCTATTTAAAACTTAATTTCTTGAAATATTAAAGGTATAGAATATAAAACAATTCTTTTAAATAACTTTTTGGTACCCTGTTTTCATTATATGCCCTATCCTGTGAAATACAAGATTAATGTCAAGTAATGCTTACAAAAATAATGAAATGTAGAAAAGATTGTGGTATAGAGCAGTATCATGCATACTAAGACTGTTTGATGTTGAAGCCTTCATCAAGAGAGAAGGGCCTATGGATCTCATCACAGAACAAAAATAATTGCCTTAATCTGGGACTCCAGAGTTAACTGCCAAGATATTGTAGAACTATTAGATGTGCAGCCAGCTCAGCTATAACATTTTGTGTATTGTATGGTCTTTACAAATTCCTAGAGCATACCTTTAGAAGATTATCAATCAAAAATACAAGATCTGTGCAACAATAATCCTGTAAGTTGTTTCAAGAAAACAGAGCAGCTGTGAGAAGGCCATTGAGAATCTGTCTGAAGGAGAGAAAGTACAGTAAGTGAGAATCTAGTTTAAGCTTTCTCTAGTAACCTGTGTCTGCATATTCACCGTAATAGCATTTTTAAAAAGCAGGGTATTTCATGTGTTCTAAAACCAAACCAAAACAAAAAAAGACCTGGTTAATGTTGGAATTAAGATTTGTTTTAAAAATAATTACTTCCCGTCTTTGAGATCCATTTGCCACTTTTACTGCTTTGCTAAGTGATTAAATCAGCCCCCTTTTCCTGTGTTCCCTTTCCCTGATATCCAGGGAAGGTTGCAATAGCCCTGATCATTAATAGCATTAGCTGCTTTCTCTTTGATGGCAGCCTAAATCTCCGAGATATGATGGCAGTGATACCTCACCCTCTGGGACAGAGAGGAGTTGATGGTAAAATAAATGTGATGCTTGGGGCATTTTCCATGCTTGAGACTTCGCTTACATTGAAGGATAAAGCATAAGTTGAAGTGTAGCTATAATTTATTAAGCATTGTACTTGTTTGTCACTTATTTTGTGAGTTGTACTGGAATCATAATCAGTTTTCAATTTCATGGTTAACTTATAGCTGGACTTACCAAGAAATAAAATTTGAGGCAGTCTAGCAAATGATTACCATGATAAAATGAGAAACAAGGAAAGAAGGGCAGTACAGCCACCAAAATCACAGTTTCTTATTGAATATAAATGCAGAGAAAAATGAAATTCATGCTAAGATGTGACATTGTCCAGTGCTATTTATTAACAACTCTTTAGAACGGAACTACTTATTCAGGGTATTTATTGCTCATCAGCCCTGCTGCAGAGCATCCTAAAGCCCTGCAGGGAAGTGTTGCTTATGGATTGCTTCGTTTGCTGAGAACTGCCAGTTCTGGCGGCCTGCTCTTACTGATGTGTTTGTGTTCAGGCAAAAATCAAAAGGCTGTGGTAGGAGGCAGCACCAGCTGGAGTGATGGGAAATACTTTCTGTCTTAACAATCTTACCTTGGTTCCTGCATATAATGAAAGATGCTGGTGGATTCCATGCTGTCTGTTGTTACTTGGGAGTTAAATATTGGTTTTCCCAAAGGTTAAGGTATTTTCTGGGTGTCTTATGACTCTATCTAGTATCAAATGCTGCCAGGGCACCAATTTCCAGCATGAAAGTTGCCTCTTGCCTTTTGGTAGAGCTGCTTTTAGTAAAAGGAGAGTAAGAATTTTTTTTTTTAATCTTTTGCTTTTTCCCTACCCTCTCCCGGAAATGAGGAGTGAGCTGCATTTGAAAGCAAAGCAAAATTCTGTTTGTGTAGCTGGGCCCTCCTGCAGTGACCACCTGTCTGAAAAGCTGCATCGTGCGTGACACTGGTAGCAGGCGGGCCCTGCTTGGCAGTGAGAAACCTCATCCTGTTCAGCATTTTCAGAGCAAGGAAGAAAACTTCAACCATTTTCTGGGCTCGAGGTGCGCTCCATAAATTATAGCGGTTTATGGATTGTTGAGAGAAAGAGGAGTGAAGTTGGAATTCCCTGTTCCCGACTCTTTCCATTTTTAATGGCATTTATATGACTTTAAAGAAGAGAGAAATGAGGAAATGAACAATTTGGGCCACATTTTTGAGCCAAGAGAATTGGAGTGCTGCTTTCAAGTTTTGAGTTTTGATTTATATATTGATTTTATTAGTGGTATCAACAAAAGTGGCAATCAAAATGTCTAGCAAGTCCAGGAGTATTTCGTGAGGGCTCAGGGCATGAGAAAGGTAGCTCCAGATGGGGTGGATGGAGCTGGCCATTCTCTGTTGAAAGTTGTTGGGTGGGCTCTTGGAAAAAGCACAGTTTCAAGTTTAAAAGCCTATCCCCATGGTAATGTTTGTTACCATTTAGTCCATTCCACATATAGGTACATAACATAGTTTGAGTTTTCTTTTTAGATTTGCTTTGCTGGAGTTTAGTGGTATTGGTAGTATTTGCTCTTGGGGAGTCCTTATTTGTTGCTTGCTGTGGGCATCTTGCAGCTGGGCCTGCCGAGGGGAGGCGGTAGCCGCTGGAAGTGGGACTAGTGGTGCTGGACAGAAGGTGCCTTTGGAGACGTCCTCCTGCTGCCAAGGGAGGTGGAGATGTCTAAGGCAGTGCACGACTGCGTGTAGACGGTAGGTGGAGCTGCCTTTTGCAAGGAGTCTCTTTTTTGAAACAAAACAAAAATAAGTATTTTGAATATTTCAGTGTCGTATTTAAAGAATTTTAAAAAGAACTGAATCAGCACCATTTTACCTCCGAGGCAACTGCGTATTTGTTTTGGATACACAAGTGGATGCTGATAAATATCTGGTGAAGATAAATACTTGTGAAGCTCTGTTTAGATGTCCCATTGCGTAGTTTGCAGGGTTGTGAATTATTTGGGCACACAAGAATTACCGTCGTTTACGGAAATTTATTTTCTATAAAGAGTTCAGTTTGTTTTTTAAAAGGTTTTTAGTCTGGAAGGTTTTTGTAACAGTGTTACGGTGAGATTTATAACATTCTGGTAGGTTAAAGTGAGACTGTAAATCCTGGAAAGGGCTTTACTTGCGCTTAACTCGCAGAGTAAGTGGCCGTGGTGAGCTCTGCTCCGAGGGAGCAGTTTCTTTGCTCTTCCTTTGCTTCCTGTTCCCTCCCCCGTAGGCCTGCTGTGTGTCTCAGTCATCCGTGCAGCGTGGCGGGCGCGAGGCTGCTGTTGAAAGCTTTGCGCTTAGCGTAGCACTTGGCAGCAGGGAAGGCTTTGCTGCAGATGTCCTTGTGTCGTTCTGAAGCGAGGCTTGCTCTTCTGCTCCAGAAGAACCCAGCAAACCCGGGCCGTGTCGGAATTCCCTCTGCGTGGTCCTTCCCTGGCCCGGAGCCTGCGGAAGGGGGTCACACTGACACAGCCACAGGGCCGAAGCGTTGCCACTGCTGGTGGAAAAGCCCCTGTTAAAACTGGGCAGAATATGCCGTATAAAAGCAATCTAGTGGAATACAAAAGTAGGAAAATCTCTGACTTAGCGAAATAAAGGTGACCCTTGTATCTTTTTCAGGTGGGCTGGTCAGCTCCGTGAGTAGGGATTGAACTGAGCTATGGAACTTGTTTAGCAGGAGTGGGGTGATCCTCATGTTTTGGCTTGGAGATAAGATACTGTTTTGAGTGAGAAAGGTGACTTAAAATAGATCGGAAAATGCAGTGAATACCTTATCTAAACACATTAGGTATATAAAGAATATAAAATGGGCATTTTTTTTAATGCTTTGAACTATACCAGTGTTTCATATGCTATTTCATCTTGGCAAGATTAGTGTAAATATATACAAGCCTCAGGGCTGTCAATTCCTGGATTGACATATGAGAACAAAAGCTTGTGTCTGGTCTCAGCTTTCCTTGTTCCACTGTGTCCTGCCATTAGGACAGTGTGGGGAAGAGGCAAGTGGTGGGACCGTGTCGATGGGAGTCCAAGACTATTTAGTCACTGAATATTCCTTCAGAAATAATATTTCCTATGTCAAGTGTTTTCAAGGCTTCAGGAAAACACATTTCTCTCTCACTGTAGTCTTGTCTTTTCTCAGTGAGTAGTTGAATAGTCTGCTGAATGCTATATATATAGCCTCTTACTGTATAGTATCAGTAATGGTTGGAGCCCTAATAAAATTACAAGGCATGTCAAATTTGTGTCTTGTAGCTCTTGCTTTGCACTTTGCTGATATAAAACCATCTGCAGATGGAAGCTAGACACAGGCCTTGGGCAGTGATATGAAACTGAGTGATATGCTGATTGCATGTTGTCTTTGATCAAATTATAGCTGGCACATGGGTAAAGTATTATTTGGCTAATTTTACTGTTATTTTAAGAAGGGGGTTTGCTGACGGTTCATTTGTGTACCTGGAGTTTTTGGGAAAAGTGCATTTATTATTTTTTTTGTTTTATTGTTGGAAGCAAACCTTAACAGTTGCATTTGAACTTGTGGCCAAGTCACCTGCCATGTCTAGTTGTGGTTAGAATTGAAGATAATTCTTAAAAATTTAAAATAAAAAGAAAATGTGCTGATCTGGTTCTACA